CACCTGGTCATAGTGTATGATCTTTGTGATATATTGCTGTAATCTCCTTGCTAGTATTTTATTTAAAATTTTTGCATCAGTATTCATTAGGGAAATTGGTCTTTACTTTTCTGTTTTTGATCTTCCTGCTCTAGATATCAGCACTGTATTTGTGTCATAAAACGAATTTGGTAGGACCTATTCTTTGCCTATTTTTCCACTTAGATTATTTAGTATTGGAATTAATTGTTCTTCAAATGTTTGGTAGAATTCAGTTATGAATCCATCTGGTTCTGGGAATTTTTTTCTTGGAGGAGCTCTTAAGGAGCTCATTTATGGATGTCTAATTTCTCTTTCTTTTAATAATTTTTAATAGTGAAAATTGGGGAGGTTAGGGAGTATTATTTTAAAGTGGTTTGAAGGAGAATATTGGGAGAATTCTACTGGGTTGCTGTCTCTTTTCCACCATCTTGGCTCCACCTTCCAGCTAAACTTTCTCCAAAGTTTTACCTTCAAGCATTCTTGATGAAAAGACTAGAGTGTATTGTAGAAACATTGAAGTTCAAACATAGGAGTTAAGAGAAACATAAAAAGGTACACACAAATGAACAATCAAAAATGACTAAGCAGGAATAAACTTCTTACATTCTAATACAGAGAGATGATACATGAGACTCCTCTGAACCCTGTCATCATCAAGATTCATAGAGTCAAATTAGACAAGTCCTTAGATGATGTCTTTTATATGTTTTGATGATTTTAAAGTAACAGAGAGGGAAGAAGACTGTGCCATGGGGAAAGGGAAGAATGGTTTGGGAAAATTATCTCACCTAATCAGGGTGGAAAAGTAGATGTCTATAGAAACAGCACATCGCAGGGGGCAGATTGGGCGAGCACCTCAACAGCAATTCACCTTCACTCTCTGAATTGGTCAGAGGAGGAAAGAATACACACACACAAAAGTTGGGAACAAAGATACTTTTACTCAATTGGGAAAGAGGGTAGATTAAAGGAGGGATTAGTTTACTCTAAGTAAAGCAGACTCTTAAAGATGTGCTCATAAAGATGTATAAAAGCTATCCGTGAGGTCCAAAGAATGGAAATTTGAAGGGATATCTACAGATTGAGTAAAGACTTAACAAGTTATGGTATGTATATGTGATGGATTATTATTGTGGTAGAAGAAATAATGTAGAAAAAGGTTTCGGAGAGAACTAATGGAGGTTAAAGTGAACAGAACCAGAAGAACAGTCTATTTGGTGACAATGTTAGGGTAAAGGCAAACAACTCTGAAAGAATTAGGAATTCTTATCAGCATAATGATCAACCATAATTCCAGAGGGCTCTTAATGAAACTGCCTCATAGAGAGATGAAAGAATCAGTGTAGAATTTAGACAAAGAAATTTTTGGATTGACCAATGTGGAAATTTGTTTTGATTGACTATACATGTTTGTAATGGTTTTCTTTTCCTTTGTTCTTTTTTTGGTTTTGTTTTTGTTTTGTTTTTTTGTTGTTTGCTAGGCAATGAGATTAAGTGACTTGCCCAGGGTCACACAGCTAATAAGTGTTAAGTTTCTGAGGTCAGATTTGAACTCAAGTCTTCCTGACTCCAGGGCTGGTACTCTTTAAACTGTGCCACCTAGCTGCCCCATTTTCCTTTGTTCTTGATTAGGATTGTGGGCTAGAGTAAGGAGGATGTTTGCTGATTAAATATAATTTTTTTTTTTTAAATTTTAAATGAAAGGTTACATGATCTTTTCTGATTTCTTCTATCTTTAAAGTTATGGTTACAAATATCCAATTTAGAATATATGTGAAATATAGTGTAAAGTGTGGATGTAGATTGAGGTTTTTTTCTGTTCTCTTCCATTGAGTTAGTTCTCTCTCTCTCTGTTTTTAACCATTACTGGATTGTTTTTGTGACTGTTGATTTATAATATTGTTTGGTGTCTGGAAGTGCTTTCATAATTTTCCTTGATATTCTAGATCTTTTGTTTTTCCAAATGGATTTTGTTTTTATTTTATGAAGTTCTGTAAAGTATCCTTTTGTTAATTTGATTGGTATTGCATTGAAGATGTAAATTAACTTTGATAACTGTTATTTTTATTTTAGTATATTTGCACAGCCCAGCCATAGCACTGAATATAGTTGGTGCTGTTAAGTTGTTCTTTATGCTTTTAAAGGATTACTTTTAAATTGAATTTGGCAACTAAGTGATGCAGTGGAGAGAGTGCTGAGCCTGAATTCAGGAAGACTCATCTTCCTGAGTTCAAATCCAGCCTCACACACTTACTACCTGTATGACCCTAGGCAAATCACTAAACCCTGTTTGCCTCTTAGTTCCTCATCTCTGATAAAATGAGCTGGACAAGGAAATGGTGAACTTTGCCAAGAAAACCCCAAATGGGGTCATGAAGAGTCAGACATGACTGAAATGGCTGATCAACAACTTTAAGTTGAATCTATTTACATATTTTGTATGGTTTGGTAGATTGATCTCTAGATATTTTATGCATTTTGTAGTTATTTGCAATGTAATTTCCCCTTCTATTATTGCCTTTTAGATTTTGTCATTATTATATAGAAATGCTATTGATTTTTGAGGGTTCATTTTATTGTCTGCAACTTTAGGAAAGCTGTTAATTGTTTTAACTTAGTATCTTTGCTGGTTCTCTAGGATTTTCTATGCAAACTAAGTGTGTGGAGCCTTTTAAAAAGACAAGTGGCTAGTGGCTAAGTTACTGAGCAAATATCACTACCTTTTTTTTTTTTCCCCAAAGAAGGTTTGATGGCTCTACAAGGTCACCAACCTCACTTTCTCCTCCAGAGCCATCTGGGTCCAGTGGCCAGATATTCATCAGGATGCAGTGGGAGACCCTGGCCCTTTTAAGGTCTTTTCAGGTTCTCACTTTGTAATGTCCATTCAATGAATAGGCCTGTTTAAGAAGTGAGTCAATGGATGGCCCCTTTAATCAAAAACAAAAACAAAAACAAAAAACTGGGAGGGGAAGACCCTCAGGGTTGCTGGCTAAAAGAGAAGCTTTGTTACTATTTACATTCACTCTGAGCTAGGAGGGCCCAAAAAGTAACTATTAAGTGGTGTGTGGGCAGGGACCTATTGTTAACCCATCTATAAGCTCCAGAGTGAATTGGGTTTAAGCCCTGCTCTTTGAGAAAGAAACCTAGCCAGGAAACCTGAGAGAGAAGGAGTAAGAGAGGGAGAGGGAAAAGGAGAGGGATGGAATACTATTATGCTATAAGAAATGATAAGCAGGAGGAAAACTTTTTTCAGAAAGACATGGAAAGACTTATATGAACTAATGTTGAGTAAAGTGAGCAGAACCCAGAAGAATGTTTTACACAGTAACAGCCACGTTATGCCATGACCAACTTTGATAGAGTTAGGTCTTCTCAGCAATTCAGGGATCTGAGACAACTCCAAAAGACTCATGATGGAAAATGCTGTCCATATCCAGATGTGGGGAATGCCAACAGTTTGGTTCCCACAGAATTGATAAGAAAACAGAACAGGGGGAGATTAGGTTATTGATTCCAGGCTTTCCGGCTCTCCCCTCGTTTTTTCTTACTTTCCTGCTGAACCAACAGTTCCTTGTTTCGAGCCTTTTTGCAAACCTTGTTACTGGGGAAGTTTCCACGCTTAGACTGTGAATTGTGAAGCCCAGCCAATGGGAAGAGGAGCTAGTGGGAGGGTGGGGATTCCGCCTTAGGGTCTACATAAACTGGCTTTGATCTAAACTCACCCTGGCTGGAGCCATCTTGAGCGAATGCTGGGTGTGTCCTTTCTCATGAGAAAGCAATAAAACTCCTTTTTGCCTTTCTTAAGAAAAAGTATCTGATTTGATTATTTTGGGGGTCACAAACACCCCACACACAGAGAAGGAACTATGGAGTCTGAATGCAGATTGAAGCATACTATTTGCTCTCTCTTTTTTTGTTGTTTTGTTTTGTTTCTTCTTTCTCATGGTTCCTCCCATATTCTTTACAACATGACTAATGTGGAAATATGTTTAATATGAATGTATATGTAGAGCCCAGATCAGATTGCACACCATCTTGGGGAGGAGGGTGGGGAGGGAGAGGAAGAAAATTTAAAACTCAAAAACTTATGGAAATGAATGTTGAAAACTAAAAATAAATTAATTTTTTAAAAAAGATGAAAGAAAATAAAAAAGTTTTGGAAAAACCAACATGTTGACCATGTTCTGTCAACAAATGCAACATTTGGTCTCCCTTTTCCTTGATGAATGGTTTATTTTTGTTTGTTTTTTGAAAGGAGGTGGGGTGTTGAGTTTTTGTTTCACTTTAAACTAAACATCTGATTTCATCAGTGTGGAGAACTCAGGAACTTCTGCTACTGCTGAAGATCTGTGTCCTCTGAAGCTTACAATTTTAGATTGTTGCCTTGAGTACTGTTGAGAGGTTCATCAGTGACCTGTCCTGGATCACATGGCCTAGAGGGATATCTTAGTTGGCACTTGAACAGAGGTCTTCTTGAGTTTTGAGGCCATTACACCCTGCAGCTTCTCTTAGAATGCTGCTGTTTTTAATATATCAAAATATGGGTTATTAACTATCCTTGACTATAACTATCATCTAGGTTTTTTAGTTTTTTGAATTCCATTCACTCCTTTACTTTTCATTTCCTTAGCAGTTTTTTACTTGTTAGTATTACTTTAATTTGTATTTGTTTATGTTACTTTGTAAATGTTAGAGTGTATGTACATACCCTGCCAACTAAATTGTGTGTGTGTCTGTGTGTGTGTGTACACCCACCCTGCCAACTAAATTGTAAACCCTTCTAGAGTAGATACCAAAGTGTTTTCCTTCAGTTTTTTTCCTTCCATAGTTAGGATGTATCATAAAATGTTATACTGCCATGTGATAAAGAGATGAAGCAGTCTGCCCAATAGGGCAGGTTTTTTAGGTTAATCATATATGATATAGGCAACTCTAAGTTATGAATAATTGGTTCATTGCCTTTTTTTTTTTTAACCTAGAAATCCCCTAGGAACCATTTTCATGTACAGCCACATTACAGGTTGTGCTTGGGTGACATGCCGTTTGTAGCTGGAAAGGTGAGTTGGATAAAAAGGGAATTTATGTTCTCTTGCTGGAATCCTAGTACTTTTTTGAAGCTAAGATCTCATCATTAGAACCCATAATTAGCCTAGTCTGCCAGAGTATAGGGGGATTTTTTTGCTTTTACTTCCAAGGATTATCTCAGTGATGTACCAATATCCTGAAAACAGGAGCTAGGGGAATGGAAATGAGGGAGTCTAGGATATAAAGGAAGAAACCCTTAAGTAGCAGAAATCTACACAATGTTGTAGGACAAGAGAGGGAAATTACTAAGAGAAGAACTTAGTAGGGAAGCAGAGGGAGACAGGGGACCTGAATATGAGGAGCAGCTCACTAGATTTGGAAGTAGGACTGGGGTTCAGTTTCTGGCACAGCAATTTGCTCCCTTTGTGATATTGGGCATACAACTTGTTTGGGCTTCAGTTTCCTTGTCTGTAAAATGGAGGGGGTTGGACTAAATCAAGATTCTTAACTTGAGAACTGTGAACTTGTCAAGAAGTCCATTGTGCTTTCAGATTATTTCCAGACCATTTTTTAGATTGACTATATCTATCTTTCCTGCTGTATCTCCTCTTCTAATTCTGTTCCTTTGCTGTAGTCAGGCTAGCTAACTTCTGAGTCCTTTCATCTAGAGCAGCAATTCTTAACTTGGGGTCTGTGTTCTTAGGGGTTTTTTTGGTTTGTCTTTGTAAAACATTATTGGATAACTATTTCAATATAATTAGCTTCCTTTGCCATTCTATGTATTTTTATTTTATGCATTTAAAAATATTACTATGAAAGGGAGTCCATAGGTTTTACCAGACTGTCAAAGGATAATGAAAAAAAGTTTTAAGAACTTATGATCTAGAATCAGTATGGTGTAATAGATAGGGAACTAGACCTGGAGGCAGGAAGATCTATATTCAAATTCCTGCCTCAGATACTTAGCAGCTATGTGAACCCTAGGGCAAGTCATTTACTTTCTCTGGGCTTCAGTTTTCTTATCTCTATAATATGGGAGTTTTATTAGATGGCCTTTTTAGAGGTTCCTTCCTGCTCTTAATAGCTGATCCTATTCATATATATTCATGTCTTCTGCTTTTAATATCTTCCTGTTTACTAGGGTCTCCTTGTCCTTTGAGGCATAGGGTAGGGTACTTCTATAGATAAATCACCTGCTTCTTTGAAACACAGAATCTTATGTTTGTTACTGGTTTTTGGTAATATGTCACCATCCAGTGAAAGTTCATAAAGGAAAAGGGAGCTAGCTGTGCTGAAGCATGTCAATCATTGCATTATCGTAGTTAATACTTGTTTAAGCACTTTAAGGTATGCAAAGTACTTTTTATGTATAATCTCACTTGATCCTCACAACTCTGAGATAGGGGCTGCTGTTATTTCCATTTTATTAATGAGTAAACTGAGGCTGAATGGTCTGGGGTCATATAGATAATGTCTAAAGTGCTTTTATTTACCCTTCCTCCTTGCTTCTCATCACTCCAGCTAGCTGCTCTTTTTTTTTTTTATTTGATCATCACAACAATCCTGTGATGTAGGTAGAACAGATACTTTTATCTTCATGTGACCTCAATCAAGTTTAGTGTTTTAAGGGGGGAAAATCAGTCTAACATACAATAAAGGATTAATTTGTATCTTTTAAAATGTATAATGCATATTCATAAAAATTAATACATTCTTTTTTTTCCCTTTGTTTTCTTCCCATCAGTCCACTACCCCTAGTCATGCAGTGGTAGCCAATGTACAACATGTTTTACATTTAATGAAGCAGCATAATAAAGCCTTATGCAATAATCGTGTGGTCAGCAGCATTCCCCTGGCAAAGCAGGGGTCTCCTCGAAATGGTAAAGACAGGAAGTTATCAGCATCATCCTCTTCTTCCTCCACTTGTCACGAAGAGTTATTTGAAGTCTTACAGACATTACAGGATGAATTTGGACAGATGAGTTTGTAAGTTGTTTTTATTTTGATATGTTTTGTTTTTACATTCTAAATATAAGATGTTCCAAAAGTCTTAGTGCATTTTTAAGGTTTTAATGGCTTTTGGAATACTCCTTATTTCCTTATCCACAAAGATATCCCACATAACAAAGAGTGAAAAAGAACAGAGAAAAGTGTTTGGAGGGACAGTTCTGAAGAAAAGAAAAATAAGTCAGTCTGGTCTTAACAGTATTTGCAGGGTTTGTCATTGACTACTTTGCATCTACTTTGCTTCCAATTTTTTTGCTATTGTGGAAGGTAATAGTATATATTTTTGTGTTAATGGAAACTTTCTTTTTAATTATTAACCTGGGGAGAGTTAAATACTTAACAAGTATTTAATCTGAGTCAAAGACTATGGAGCATTTGTCAGTTTTAGCACAATTCCAAATTGCTTTCCAGAATGGTTGGATTAATTAATTGCTCCAGTAGTAGTGTATTAGTCTGCCTTCATCTTGCTACAACTTTGCTAACACTATTTCCATCTTGTCATTGAAGCAAATTTTCTGGGGAGATAGAATCTCAGAGTTGTTTCAATTTATACTTCTCTTATTGTTAATAGGTTGCAGTTCTTATTTTGAGAATTATCTTCATATCTTTTGATTATTCTTTGCTCAGTGGCTCTTGATACACATTTATGTTGATGCCCTGTGTACCTTGGATATTAAACCTTTGCTAGATATGAGATAGCTAAGTGGCACAGTGGCTAGAACACTGGGCCTGGAGTCAGGAAGACCTCAATTCGAATTTGGCCTTAGACATTACAAGCAGTGTGACCCTGGGCAGGTTACTTAATGTCATTCTCCTTCAGTTTCCTCATCTGTAAAATGGGGATGATAATAAAAGCATTTACTGTCCAGAGTTGTTATGAGATATAATATTTATAAAGTGCTTAGCACAATGCCTGGTACATAGTAGATGATTTATAAATATTTCTTCCCTACCCTTATCAGAGATATATGATGCACACTTTTTTTCTCATTTTAGAGCTTCCCTTATCTAGGTGCATGGACTTTGTTCCTTTGAAAGCTTATCAGTTTATCAGCTTATCAGTTTATTTGTCTTGTCTCATCTATCTTTTGTCAGTATAGTGATTAAAAGTGCCTGACCTAATTCTTTTACTTTTTTATGGTGTTAGTCAATTAACAAGCATTTATTAAGCACCTACTCTGAGCCAGTCACTGTGCTTGATGCTCTGGATACAAATTTTAAAAAATGAAACCTCCACTATTCTCAGGGACCTTATATTGGAACAGAGAATGGTATGACCTTTACTGTTCAGGTCATACATCCATTTTGCGTTTAAGGCCAAGGTCCCTCACTGCATCCTGGGCCATCTCCAGTTGTCCTGATCTATATCTTGCCACTGGACCCACATGGCTGTGGAGGAGAAAGTGAGGCTGGTGACTTTGCACAGCCCTCCCTCACTTAAATCCAATTCACTTGCATGTCATGGTATCACTTCCCTGATGTCATGGTCCTTTTCAAGAACAAAGACAAATAGCAGCAATTTTGTTACATTGTGTAAGATATGTGTCTAAACTTAATTTCTGCTTTGCTGTTTTCAGTTTTCTCAACAATTCTTGTTCAGATGGGAAGTTTTTGCCCAGTGTTATTGTGCAAATATTACTAGGTTTAATAAATGTTAAATTTTTATTGCATTAAATTGCCAAAGTGAGTGGTTTCATTTAGAAAACAGTATTTCATTAAATAAATACAACTACAATTTATAAATTTGAAGTTCTACTTTATAAGTAGAGGATGATCCAATTTCTTTTTACAAGTTAAAAAAAAACTCCCTTTAAAAAAAAAGTATTCATTTAAACACCAAGTTTATGTTTAAATTTTATTTTGATAATCTGATGGTTGGTGCAACAGAGTACCAGTGAATAGATGGCAATAGAGGAAATAATATATTTAAGTGATTATGTTATACATAACCATGAACAATGAAGAGCATTTAATCAACCCGTATTTTTCTTCATATAAAGTGATCACCAACAACTAGCCAAACTTATCCAGGAAACACCAACTAATGAACTGAAAGAGGACCTCGAGCGGGAACTTGAGGAATTAGTGGAAAGGATGGAAGCTAAGGCTAATCAAATAACTAAAGTTCGAAAACATCAGGCCCGGGTAAGTCAGTTTACCTGCACTCAGCTTTCTTTTAAAATGTCTCTTTGTAGTGCATTATTTAGGTGGAGCCAAGTGTCTTTTTGTAAATTGTGATCAACAGGATGGTCCTTCTTTACCAAAAACTCTTATTAAATATCTGCTGTGTTTCAATGAGGAAAGTGTATTTATTATTATTATTTTGTGAATCTTCGGGGGGGGGTGCGTGCATGCGCATGCTCACTCGAGCAAGCATGTGTTTTCTCTAGCGTACTGGGGATACCAAAGAACACATTGCAATTTTTCTTTTTTCTTTTTTTTTAAATTAATTTATTTTGAATGATCAACAATCACTTCCATAAACTTTTGAGTTTTAAATTTTTCTCCCTCTCCTTCCCCACCTCCCTCCCCAGTACAGCTCGAAATCTGATATAGGCTATACATATATATTCCTATTAAACATATTTTCACATTAGTGATGTTGTAGGTAAGAATTAGAACCAGTAGGAGGAACCACCAGAAAGAGGACACAAAACACAACAGAAGAAAAAAAATAGCAAATAGTATGCTTCAATCTGCATTCAAACTCCATAGTTCTTTCTTTGGATGTGGATAGCATTTTCCATCATGAGGCCTTTGGAGATGTCTTAGATCCTTGTATTGCTGAAAAGGGTTAAGTCTACCAATACAGTGCAGTTTTTCTCAAGGAACTAACAAGTTCCTGGACATAAGAATACTTCATCCTAGATACAATCTTGAAATCTAAAAAAAAAATTTCATTTTAATGGTCATAAAGTAGCTACCTTACTTCTAAGTTGAATGCTGTTTCTAAAAGGGTAAACAAATCAGGCTAGGAAAGAATCTTTAGCTAACGTTTAGCATTCAGGAATTGTTATCAAGGCAGTTGCCTGTCCTCCTTTGTATCTTCTTTGCAGGAGTGCATTACAAACACAGTTCTCTAATTGCATGACTTTATTCCTACATCTGTTTTTCCTCGCCTTCCTTTACCCTCCTGGCCAGTGCTAACTTCAGCGTGCTTTCATTCACCTTCCTGTTCTGAGGCAAGTGTTAATGACAGCAGGTTTATATTGTGCATACTTTTACATTTTAATGTATGATTATGGTATTTTAAAGCATCTTTTCCTTTGAACACTTAGAATAAGTGTTTTGAGAAAAGCAAATGGAAATCTGTATAGAATTGTAGATGTGACCTTCAAGCCTCCCTTTGTCCACCTCCAAAATAAATAGTAATGTGGTCATTGGCCAAAAGTTTGGTCTTTAAGGCATCTAGGCCTACTTGACTCCTCCTGTCTCTGTAATTACAGCCATGGCTAACATTCTCTCATTCATCCATTCATTCATTCAGACTTTATGTAAAATTAAGTAGACCCTGTGCCATCTTGGCTTTATTACATTAGTGTATTATAAGGTGAAGTGATGGACAATGTGAAGCCTAAAGCAAAAGGTATCTCACATTTCATGGTTTTTAAAATCTTGAGCTTTGAAGGGCATCTACTCTCAGTATATTTTTAGATCAGAGTTCAATAGATTTTTTAAACTACATATTTAAATAAGGAAATGGTCATTAAGTGATGCTTATGAAAACTGAACATATTCTAAGTTATGAATTAGTAGACTTGATTTTATTCTTCTAAAAAGAACATAAATATGCCAGCAGCATCTTTTGGAATAGCATTGTTCCACATTTTCTTGTAATCCTACAGGAAACTAATAAGGATGGAACAAATACTTTGGAAAAACCCTTTTGTAGTAATGCTAAAATGTGTTATTAGTGACATTAGATTGTTTTATAATACTGTTTTGGGATGGAGAGAACTCTTTTTAGTAAAGGACAAAAGGTAAAGTGAAAAATGCTAATACTAATCTTCGTTTTTCCTTTTGGCTGTTCTGCAGCTGGAGAGACAGATGAAGGAGCTAAAGGGTAGCAAAAAGTGTTTGGAGGATCAAGAAGGCAACAGCAAGTTCTATCCTGGAGTCACTGGGAGCTCCCCAAAGAAGGACTCTATTTCCGTCAAACGGAACCCTGGAGAGAAAAGCCGTCGAAACCTTCAGTTGTTAAAGGACATGCAAACCATACAGACTTCGATTCAAAAAGATAACTTAGGTTGGGAATATTGATTGGTACTAGGTCGAATGTTTTATTCATATAATTTATATTTTGTCATATGTTGACAATTCACATATTAAAAATAGCATATTCTTATACTTTTTTGAGGGACTAATACTTGTGCTGAGGACCACTGTTTTAAATAGCTCCAGTAAAGGTTGAATAGTTTTACTGGAAACATAAGAAGCCACATTTTACTGAATTCCCTTTGGCAAATCTTGCTGTACTTGTGCAATGCACTTTGTAAACAAACTCCCAGGTTTTTATTTGTGGGTGTTTTTTTAAAAATTGTGTCTTCTGTAGCTGAATTAAAATTAAGTTTAAATTATCTAAATTCAAAGCTAAAAATGTGTATGTAGAAAGTTATCAGCACTGCTTGAAAAGTCTCATAAACCTTACCCCAAGGTATTTTCTCCATCTGCAACCCCCAGAAGTACTTTATTTTGCTACTGATGGAGGCTTTCTGAATTTTAAATCTTTTGAATATTTTCTTATCCCAGTTCATATTGTAGAATAGGACTTTACTCATTAATGATTAAAATCATTTTTTCCCCTTCTCCACTGGTATGTTATCTCAGTAGCTCGTTAGTTTACCAAAAAAAAAAAGGCAAAAATTCAATTTTTTAAAACCAAAACACACAATTTGTTTCTAGCCAATTTTAAGGGAAATTAGTGTTGCTTTTCAACCCATTTTAGCAAAACAAAATTATTATTCCCCTATTTTTCATTCCAGAAAACCCAAATAATCATTTAAGGTAGTTGTGTATAAATAGAACATGAGGTTAGCACAATAAAAAAATTACCTGAGTGTTTTTCAGTGTGAACAAATTTTGATGTGAAAATAGATAATGAGTTAGGAAGAAAGTGAAAAACCAACCTGGGGGTGGGGTGGAGGGTGTTATAAAAGCATGTACATTTGCTGTTTTTAAATATTGCCTCTTCGTAATCATGCCATTCAATCCTGGCAGTGTGTTTTTTATCTTGAAATAGTTACTGAACACCTTGGATAGTCACCTTTATTAGTGTTCTGTACATATACAAAATAAACTGTGCACAGCAACTGTTATTTATTATGTTAATGATGTAAAAAAATTCTTCCTATTTTGGAATATACAAAAACATGTTAACTTTTTATAAATGTGCCATTAAAGTCAATAAAGCCAGCTTTTGTTTTAAGGAAATGCTGAAACTTTTCTTAAAGTTTTCAGTAGCAGGCTTCATAAATACTTAAATCCAAGTATGCACCTGAACAGTTGAGAACTATTGGCTGGAATTCTGAATTGCTAATATAGGAGCACCTTCAGGGAAACTATCATTCATCTGTTTCATGTTTGTTTTAACAGAGTAATCATGGTTTTAATATTTGGTGGGCCACTACACGGCCCCTTAGGTTAATACCCTCATAGCAAGCTCCATAGTCGTTTTGTTGGTAACAAGTTTTGTTAAAAATTAATGCTTTTCTAGAAGTCAGATTCAGAGGTTGCAAGATCCATTGAGGAAACAACTGAAGCATGAACCTCTAGTGAAGTAGTAAATGGAAAATAGTGATGGTAGTAGAAAGAGTGTTGGACTTGGAATAAGGACCTTGTATTCAAATTCCCCCTCTTGACATTTATTGGCAGTGTGACTATGAGCAGGTCACTTAACTTCTCTGCACCTCATTTTCTTGATCTGTAAAATAATAATAATAGCACCTACCTCACAGGGTTGTTGTGAGGACCAAATAAGAATGGATGTCTGTAAACTTCTTTGAAAACCTTAAAAGTGCTATATAAATGTTAGCAATTGGTCATAAGGAAATAAGGAAAATGTATCTTTTTCCTCCATGATTTGGTGGCTAGGGTGCTAATGGATTGTTTGGGTGATAGGAAATCTACATTGTAAGTTGGAACAGGTCATAAACTCTTAACTCAGTTTCTCATCCGTAAAATATGGATTGTAATCTGTTTCATTTAGCTCACAAGAAGTGTTGGGAAGATTTAGATGAGTGATAAATTATTATAAGACGACACTGAAATGTAACGTATGGTGGCATTGTGTCTCATCCATGAAAAAGATAAGAACAAGTGTTTTGAAAGTATTGTGCTTTCTGGTAACTTATAGCCAACGTGACAAGTTCACTTGTATTGGGATTGCCAGTGGGATGTGGATTTCACTTTTGCTGAAGTGGCTGCCCATGTAAGATCATGTTTTAAATATGTTTACTAACTTAAGAAAAGTGACCTCTTAAAGCAATGACGATTTAGAGAGGGAGATTTAAAAGGTGATTGAAAAGTTAGTATTTATTAGGGGTCTCTTCCAGTGCCTGACTGCTTTTTTTTCTACACATACTTAGTGAACCTCAGTTTCTTAATCTGCTATGTAAGACCATCTACATAGAGTTTTAAGGATCAAGTGCTTTAAAAACCTTGCTAAAGCACTATGTAAACGTCAGCTATTATTGCTACAAATAATTAAAAAGCAATCGAAAGGGGGTCTAGTGTCTTAGGAAAAGAATATTTGGACCAACCACTAGGCTTAGGAGAAACTTTTGTACACATTTATATAGAACATTCAGTTCAGTTATAGGATGAGATGAAGCATTTGCATCTCTTCTTCTTTAAAAGTATTTAAATAATAAGCACATTTGTACAAAATAAGACAGACAACTTGCCACAAAGTTTAAAAGTCAGTTGAATTATTTTAATTAAAGACCCAAGGAGCAACAAGCTTATTTTTGTTACAGTACATTACATTATACATGGCTCTTAGTAAAGTAGACAGCAGGCAGTCATATATTTATGCCAGTGCTGAAATCTTACTATAGCCAAGTAAGAAATCAAGGTTACATCTACTTACATTGAGATTGTAATAAATACATGTTTTTACATGCAACAGTTTCTTTGGTTGGTAGGTTTAATCATTCAGTAGAATTACTGGATTCATTAAGGGGAAAAGTAGTAAAGTACTTGGTATAAACTTTGGAGTATATTGCTGATCTCACAAACTATTTGTACATAAAACCGGAGAGGGAGGGGGGAGGGCAGCCGTGTGTCAGTCCTAGCAAGAATTTCAGACTGTAGCTTTATACCTACCAGTTACCTTGATAATGCCTCTGACACAAAAATTAGTATCAGAACCAAAGCGGGATAGATTTGTGTTTTCAAAATCCAAACAGCTTAATCTTCTTGTGATCCTACTTCTGGCATAGTTAATAAAACTGGTAGATGTGGGTAAATGAAGTAAAACTCGAAGAGTTGTCAGTTAACTGAACTTTAGAGTCCACATATTTTCTATAAGGCCTCATTTTAGAACCGTGATAAATCTTACACAATGATAATGTTTAATAATCTGTGGCTGTCACCACCCCATAACAGCCTCAAAACTTGGTCTTTCATAGTATAAAAAATATGGGCAAGGGAAGAGATCAAGAGAAAAGGACAAGCCAACTATAGCTGACAGGAAAAACTCACAAAGTTGGAGTTATGTGGCCTATCACTTAATGTCTGTGTCACCAGCCCCGTGATGCCATTAAAGTCTGTATTCACTTGATATTCTTATGAAGTGATTATTCTCTGTAATAGGCTACTTTTGCCCCATTCAGTTGGGTGCACTAATGACAACTTTTATACTATTTCCACTAGATAATGTTGAATTTCCAAAGCAGTATTTTCCTATTAAAAACAAACTTGTTCCCATTCTGGATCCAGGGGTGAGCATTCTAATAGCCTGTAGGTGTCTTGGTGGAATTAGTGTTATCAGAACATAATCAAGTAATTGCATAGGGGGGGTTATTTTAAATAAGATACTTGTAGTACTAAAGTACTAATTCACCCTAGAGAGAAGCATAATAAATAAAGTGGCTGAGAGCTCTCTCAGATGGGTTCTAAATTCAGAAGACATTCTACTAGGAAAGCTGCCGTGATAAAGGAATCAGTGATAAAAGTTCCTCCTTGCCAAAAAGAAGAGTCTTTCTTTTTATACGACAGTTTGGACTGGAGTGGCACATTGTGCAGGAGAACTGGCCCTTTCTGAGGATGAGGCTGAGCGACTAGAGATCTCTCTTTGTAGTTCCTCCACCTTCTTTTGAAGCTCTGCTCGTTTAGCAAGAAGTTCTTTATATCGATTATGGATAGGCTCCTATGAGGAAAAAGACCACAAAAAAGTCATTTGTGAATTCAACTATGTGAATCATCCACACCCTTCAATAACTACTGACCCCATGGCTTACAGGCACAACATGAATGTTTCTTGCTTAAACCCTACTGGGAAGAAACAACATGTACACAGATGAGTCAATATAAAACATGAAGAAATCAGGCTTGAGCTGAGCTTTGAAGCTAGTAATTCTAAGGGATGGAGGACAGAGAACAGCATTCCAGAGATGGGGAAGGGCAACCTATTTTAATAAAGGTACAGGCAGAAAGTAGAATGTCATGGGAAATAAGAAAGCAGGCTAGTCTAGCTACAACATAAAACACATGATGAAAAATAATAGGAAATCAGTCTAGGAAAATAGGATAGAACCAGACTGAAGGGTCTGGTGCTGCTCCCCTCCCCACCACTGTCCCCCAAAAAAGGGTAGCTATATTTCATTCAAGTCAGTAGGAAGTCACTGAAGCTTCTTAAGTAGGAGAATGACATAAGGCCTGTACTTAAAGATTATCAGTATGTTACCACTGCAGGAAGAACTGGAAAGGGGAGAATGGATACAGGGAGACAGGTTATTGCAATCATGCAGGTAAGACATGATGGTCCTAACCATGGTGGTAGCCATATAAGTGAAGATAAAGGAATGAATATGAAAAATACAGAGGTGAGAATATATAAGCCTTGGCAACTGACTGGATATAGGAGATGCCAGGATTGAATTGTAGAAGTCAAAGATGACTTAAGGTTGAGAACCTAGGTGGCTGGAAGTACCATCGTACAGAATGGCAGTTATGGCATTGCCAGAAATAAGGAAGTTAAAAAGGGGTAAGTAATAAGTTCCATTTTAGACATGTTGGATTTGGGATGGCAATGGCACACCTTCTTTGAGATATCCAACAGGCCCTTGATCAGGAGAGAAACAGCAGATAAATATACATTTGGAGATCATCTGTATAGATAAACTAAGATTGAGCCCTTGAGGGCTGATGAGATCACCAACGTTCCACTGCTAAATGGAAGTTCCTCTTGTTTTTCCACAGATTTGCGTAAGAAAAAATGAAAAACCAAGACTAGCTAGAATTACATGCTTCTGGGTTTTGGTTTTATCTTTACGTAATTCTAAGTTATAAAAATTCTCTAGTACGCTTCAAAAATACTATCAATGGAATTACATAAAATTTTATATAACATTTTAAAAAGCAGTTTAGCAATTATATCTTTACTGTTTCATTTCCATATTCATAGGCCCAAGATACTTCTTCTAATTTGTTTTTAAGGAGAAAGAGAGGGACTTATCAAAATTCCTCAAATGAAAAATCCCAGAACATATTTTATAAAGATTTTTACCTGTGGCTTCATCCGTGGGTTCCATCTGATGTAATATCCCACCCAAAGCTCTAGGTGGCGCATGCTAGCTACTGGATAAAGGACATGATTGGAGTAGCTCACATACAGGGGATTAGTGAAGTCTTCAAGCTGGCTATTTATATAGGACCACAGTGATACAGTTCTTTTGGGGAGATTCTATAAAAAGAAAAACATTTTAACAAATACTATATAAACTACATGCAACTTTGTGTGTGTGTGTGTGTGTGTGTGTGTGTGTATGCAACATATATGCATACACGCACATATATATTTATGAGTAACAGATTATTTTCCTACCATTAAAATAAAAATCTTTTGTAGGGGGAAATGTAAATAGTTCATAATGCATAAGAGCTGCTACAATAAGGATTGTGATATAAGGAATTCTCAGTCAGCAATACTTCATTAATAATGAACACCTGTTTAAGACTTACATGATTTTGCAACTAAAAAGAGGAAAGATACAAATTGTTACATTATTACAGTTACTTTTTAGAACTAAAATTAGTGTCTGGGGAAAGATACCCGTTGAGATCATTATGAAAGATGTTCAGAACCCCAGAACAAGTATTTTGGAAGAAAACAAAAGAAAGGGACAGGAAAACACTTAGACATAAGCATTAAACATATTTCAGAAAAACCTTTCTAACTTGCAGTTTCATATGAGCCACAGAATATAATTCATGATTGACCTGTATTCATTTAAAACAAACCATTTCTCTAACTCTATTCTCCACATTTGCCTTGAAGGACTGCCATACCACAAGTAGTCAACACTGCAGGACTTGGAAGACGTCGTTTTATTTCATTTCTTGGGGGCATGCTGCCACTTAACCCATGAGCAACTGTTCCATTCTGCTTACAAACGGTATGTGAGCTGACAAAACAGGTTCTTTCAGTTAATGACAGGAATTTTAAAAATTAAACCACATCCAGATATATGGAAGAAAGTGGTAATATTATGGTTTAATGTAAGAGAACTGGACAACGAATATGATCCATATTATCAACTGCTCAGCTGAAATACAGTGAAGACTACCAAGTAACAGGGGGAGAAGACAGGGTGGGAAGGGTCCATCAGCTGTGGAAATTCATGATATTTTACCTCTTTTCCTCTCTGCTGCTCACTGCTACAAAGGAATGTCCCAAATAAACAGCTGTACAGGTGGTCCAAAATGGTAATCAGAAAATACTCGTTGAATTCAAATGCTGTGGGAAACTGCAAACAGAATAATATACATGTACACAAAAATCTTTAGGGCTCTTTTTCAGGAAAATTAATTTCTGCAAATTAATGCATCTATTGTAATGGCTTTACAAATAAGTTTCAATAAGCTGAAAAATGTTCAAACACATGTATTTCTAAAGCAAAGCTTTATGTTATCTGGCTGGCTCTCTTCTTAAGAAAAAAAAATTAACACTTTTCTGAACAGTGGTTTCTGCCAAAGTCTACTTTACATGTTTAATGAGGAATTTTGAGCAGAAGCCAAGTGGACTGCTGGATCTGACCACTCTGTTTATGTACACCCAATATCTCTGCTCATCTAAACCTCTATGATCCTTAATTTGGACTCTCTTCTGGCTGTTCTAACCTCCTTCTGCCAAAATTGCCATAAACAATATAATGAATTAGGTGCAAAATCAGAAAGAGTAAGTAAGAATTTTCTTGATTGTTCAAACAGAGTACATTTGATTCCAGTAATTACACAAAAATATCAACTATGTTCTTTGAAGACCACAATGCATCAAAGCAAACATCCAAATGCACATATGTGGATAATTTCACAAGCCAGCCCCCTTTTTAAGAACACACGTTTTGCCAAAGTGGAACAAATACCAGTCATTCACTCTAATCCAGTACACCTTGGCAGCAGAAGAAACTCTACTCCCTCTTATCACAATAAAAGTTAGTCTGATTAGATTAATTCAGAATAAAGAAAACAATTTTCAGGCATAAGCAAAGAAAGAAATACACACGCAATAAAGGGTGTAGAGTTTCATTTTAAAGCACCTTATCTAGTGGATGTTTGAAATGAATTTGGAAGTTTCTGTTTAGTGCCATGCCAATTACAGGACTGTCAAATGGAATTCCCTAAATTGTTAGATGGCAATGTGGGGAATTTCCACAGTTTTGATTTCTTAGTTTCCTTCTTAAAAAAGGAAGAAAATAGCCTGAACCCAAGAGGGAAATAAGAGGCTGAGGATTATAAGCAATTTCGGTTTAAATTTTCCCTCAGTTTAGATAGCAACAAACAGGAAAGTCAGCAAACAATCTGCTGGGAAGAAATGCTACTGAGCCTCTAGGGCTTAGTGTATGAAAGGCCACTGGGGGATGTGGAAGAAGGGAGGAACCACAGAAAGACAGGTGATGAGGAAAACACAGCCAACAACAAAAGCCTAGTTGTTTTCAGAGAACATGACCAAAAACAATTCCATCTCCACTGTTTCTTTACACTCTTCTTCAAAGTATGACTAACTGTTGACTTGATATCTTCCATTTAGTCATGGACCCTGTCATCTTCCTTCACAAAAAACTATTCACATCCTTCTGAGAAAAAGACTGACTTAGGGGGAGTTTCCTCAAAGCAAAAGAAAATAGTAAAATCATTATCTGCTACTATGGATTTTATTTTCTTTTTGTGAGTGTGGTTGGTTTCTTGAGGAGTATTTAAAATCTTGAAGGACCATCATCAACTGTTAGCAGATACTAAGTGTCTAAACTTGAGGAAAAAACACCTAAGTGATCTTAATATATGTATTACTCTCTTCCAAAGAATGGTAACAGACCAACAAAATAGGTTAGTGAACCATCATTTATGCAGAGAATTGCCCTCCTTATTAATAAATATCATTTTATTAATATCAAACATTTTTCTACTTTCAGGAAGATCAGCTCACATAGAAACATAATTAGGTGCTTGAAATGAAACAAACACTGGATATACTGTTTGAAGGCTTGTAAATGAAATACAAAATTTGAACTGATTTCCCCGTGATTTTGTAACACATGCTTCAAATGAATAAAGAATTATTTGATTTTAAATTAAAAAAAAAAAAACCAACTAAAACTTTCAAGCAAGCGCAAAGGAAGAAATATAGACCTCAGCAATGGAATCAAATATGACCACAAATGAGAAGTGTGATAATAAATAATGTGAAAGATTTTTAACAACTATAACAGGACCTACACATTCAAATGAATGTGTTAGCCCTTCAAAGCAGTCATCTTGGAAGGCTATACACTTATTGCAATAATGCTGTCACTGCTCAAAGCAAGTATGAAACTCAACTCTTTGGGACTTGCCTTTCAAAGCCTGAATCACATTCTTTTCAATATCCTTAATGGTAGCAAGTCTTTTTCCTGTGGAAGTGGATTTGGTTTTTGGAATCAGCAAAAGTCATTCTGTGCCAAGTGTGGTATATAAGGTGGGTAATCAAACTGGATGACAGCATTTAGAAGGAGCAACATCTCTTCTAAAATAGGGTATCTTAAACTGGCTATATTAGCACTCTAGAGGAGATCTGACCAAAGCAGAATATTCTTTCGTCTTTGTCCTGAACATTATTAATGCAGATAAAAAATTGATGCAATTTTAATAGGTATTAATAATTAATACTGTTCAAAATGATGGCAGTGTCAGTTCTACTGTACTCTACTTTGCTACTGTGGTCAAATATCTAGACTAATGTTTAAGTCTAGTTCTGGATGCTATATTTGAAAAGGAGGGATATGTCCAGAGAAGGGTGATCAGGCTAGTGAGATAAATTCAAAACCATGGGATAAAAGAACTCAATATTAAGCCTGAGCAAGATAAGGCATTGGAGTAAGTGGGGTGGAGGTGAATGGACACAACAGTAATCTTAAATATTTTAATATTCCATTATCAAGTGGAAGACTATGTCTTGTTCTGGTAAAAAAGCAGCACTAAGGACTAGTGGAAGTCACTAGGAGGCATATTTCAACTTTTACATAAGGAAAAACTTGACTGTTGAGAGCTATCCAAAAAGGGGAATGAGCTCCCAGAAGTAGGGCAGGAGAGATGATTTCTCCATCGGTAAAGCTCTTCAAAGCAGAAGCCAGAATGACCACTTATCAGCGAATTTACAGAAGGATTCATAATTCAGGTAGGGGGTGGGCTAGATGATGGCTGACTATCCTTCTAATGTTCTATGATTACTTATTTTAAAAACAAAAACAACAAAATGTAAATAATGAAGTAATGAAACTGCTTTTTTTGTGTGGCTTGTAAACTTGCTCTAAAGGTGATTTCAAAGGAAGAGCTCCAAAAATGTTTTAAGCATCATTGGGATAAGTGTATATAGCCTCCCAAGATGACTGCAGAGGAAAGACAACAAGAACACTGGATCTGGAATCAGAAGACCTGGATTTGAATCCTGGCTCTGCTACCTTCTACAGTCTGTGCAACTGTGGCCAAACCACTCACTTTGTTCAGAATGGGCTTTATTTTATCATTTGTAAAAAATTGAGGGTTGGAGTTCCTTTCCAGCTCTAGATTGTCTGCTCTAATGAACATTCATTCTTCATTTATATGCTTGATTTTTGTAAAAAAAATTAATTTGGAGTCACTCCTCAAATTAGTTAATTAATACCAATGACTCAACTTCCTGCTCAACCTTAAAATTAAAGTAATCCAAGTTGAAGTTGAAGAAATAACAACATAAATTATGTACCTCACCGCTAAATCCTGGGTCTTTACACTAATGTCATTTCCCTCAAGTGAATCCAAAATGAATTACTGGCTCAAAGCCAGTCAAGGCTTATAATGCTCCAACGTCATGCCCATTTGGCAGTCTCTTCTCAGGTAGTCTTTGGTCTCGAAAAAAATTGTAAATACACAAGTAGCAAAAAGACCAAAAGTCTATACTCCCAGTTTTTGAGGTGTTTCTTCCACAAGAAGTGTAAATCTTATTATTACAGCAGTTGTAAAAAGTCTGCTTTCTGACATACTACTGTCAGTATATCAAGGACCAACCTGTTATTTTTATCATGCTGTTCAAAATTGTATAACTAGGTTTTTCATTATTATCTAGAACCTTTCCAAAAATGTTAATTAACTTTAATAAACCTTTTAAATAAATTAATTTGTAACAGCTAATATAGTTACTATACATTATGACCAATTAACCCCTTGCAGTATTTTGGGTCAAAAAATGTTTTTTCTTGAAATAGGTTACTTAAGTCATATTGGATTTTATTTGCTTGAGTTATCCAGATAATTGCTTTATTTCTCCATACGAGCATCCTAAAGTGCAATTATTTAACACACTGTCCACAGCAAAGAAAGGGACAATGTCATATCTTGCAAATTTTGAAAAAAAAAAGGTACTCAAGCTGAATGTTTATGGAACCAGAATTATCACATGTGTAATACTACAGTGAATAATGACTTGTTACTTTCTTAATGTGACAGTGAGTAACAGCCCTAACATCCAGGAACCTGATGGAAGAATTTCTATTTCACATGAAACTGGGTTGTGCAATCAGTGGCTACATCTCTTCATTTCCAAGCAGAAGACTTTATGGTGGTATGTTTAGAGAAATATCCTGGAGATTACCTGTCTTGTCATCTGCCAGACACAGTCAATAAACTGAAGGAAAACAGGTGATCTGTCTGCATCTGCATGGTTCTTATCTCCATGGCCAATTCTCTACAGCAAAGAGAGACAGTAAAAGAATGAGTACCCACATTCGGGTTACCACTGAGACAGTCTTGATTGTACTCTGCATTCACTAACAGTGGAGAACGCTGATTAGGTGAAGGAGGGTCACTAATCCAATAATCCACCACAATTTTATGATGATCATTTCAAATGGTGGTGATTTGGTTCATATTTCTTTAAGCATGTGCGGCATGGTAGACTAAGTAATCTTTCCACGTTTAATTTATAATAAGCTACAAAACATGAGCCACTCTAAACAGGGGTCTCAGATGCTCTTCTGGCAGCAATTTCATTGAACAGTTCAGTTCAAAAAGCAGAACAATGTTAAGCTTCTGTTCCTTCTATTATTTATAAATGTTTCTAGTGTACCTTGGTCATTTTGGGATCCAACAGGGCAAAGAACTGAAGGTAAGACTAAACAAACTGTAAACCAAAATTTTACAGAGCTACAGCATAAAAGAATCTCTATCAGTGCTGACTGAACTGAAGACCCCAGATAATCTGTACCCACCCTTCCTATTGAACCTAATTTCCCAATATTCTCTGACAAATGTCTTTGGCCTGAGCCAAACAAGTCTTCTTATCATCACCCACATCAGGCCACAACTGCTATTTCAAAAATTTGTTCACTCAATTCCTTCTGCCTAGAATGTTTTCCCTTTCACCCTTTTCCTACAACATACAACTCAAGCCCCACCTCCTTAGTGGAGCCATCCTCACTGCAGTGAGTCTCTTTTCTGGACTCCTACAGTCAAGACCACATAATTTATATCACTTAAGTGTTCCCCAGCTGTATCTTTAACTTCCTAACTATACCATAAACTCCCTGAGGATGGGGGTGGGGGGTGCGGTAAAAGATAATGCTTTAAAAAAAATTCTCCCAAAGTTCCTAATCCCAGTGCTAGCCATAAACAAACACTCCATATACGTATTGGCTGAATGAATGGTTAAGGTATGGGGAACAGAGGAAGGAGGGGCCTGGACTAAAGGTAAGATACAGATCTATCTAACGATGGGCTCACATAGGACCTTGCTGTTCTTGAAATCACAATACCTAAAGATTAAAATAATTTAGCCAAAATACAAGGAAATTAGCCATAACAAGGTGAGAGAAGAAAAATAACTTTTTTACCCTCATTCATCATAAACTGAGTGTTTACTATGTATACATCATATGAGATGGCAGTTTCAAATAACTCCTTAAACCCAAGAGCCTTACCCCAAATTCAGCATTTTAAGTTCTACTGAGAGTTGAATATACTGGGTAAAATACCTAAGTCGGCACTGAACTTGTCACATACTCTTGAAGCAGAGGGTTATTTATGTGGCTGCCCCTGACTCTACACTGGGAATGTAGGCCCAGATTGGGCTGGGCCTCCAAGGTCCAAATAATAATAATAATAATAATAATAATGATGGTGGTGATGATGATGATGATGATGATGATGATGATGATGATGATGATAACAATAATAATAGCATTTATACAGTTCTTTAATATTTATAAACCACTTTACATATATTATCTCATTTCATCCTTAGAACAAGCTTAGAAACTAGGTGCTGCTATTATCCTCATTTTTCAGGTGAGGAAACTGGGGCAGAAGGAAGCCAAATGACTGGCCCAGGATCCTGACTCCCAGTCTAGCCTTCTATCTACTGTCACATGGTAGCTTGTATTAAAATTTATCCAAAGGGGCAGCTAGGTGAAGCAGTGGATAGAGCACCAGCCCTGGAGTCAGGAGGACCTGAGTTCAAATTTGATCTCAGACCAGACACTTGACACTAGCTGTGTGACCCTGGGCAAATCACTTAACCCCAACTGCCTCCCCCCTCCAAAAAAAAAAAAAAAAAAAAAAAAGGAATCTAAAGTTTATCCAAGTTTTCTTCTAGGATCTCTTTAGAAAATATTAAATAGCAATATTCAATTAACTTAAGAACACAGGGCTTAGAATCAGAAGCCCTGGGTTCAAGTTCAAGTTCCCACTTACTAGTTGCATGTCACTGATCAACTTAAATTTCTCAGAGCCATCAGTTTCCTAATTCGTAGAACAGAGATAAGTAACACTTGTCCTGCCTAGGTCTCAAGTTTCCTGTTGGGATTAAAATATGACATATACAAAAATATTTTGTAAACTGTAAAATGCCATGTAGATGTCAGTCCACTATTTGCCTCTGATTATGGTAGTGACATACAGCTTAGTCAATTATTATTATAAAAATAAAAATCTACAGAGACTGCTTATTATCACAAAATCCCAATCTTTAACTTCAAATCTTGAAAGAAGAAGAAAGGCATAAGAAGGGCATAAAAAGGCTATAATAGCATATTGCCAAAAATGTCTTAGATTTGAAAAGTGGTAAAAAGACATCACCAAGAACACATAAGATGGGAAAAGATAGCAGTCCAATCTTATATCAAGAATGGGACACAACAGATAAGATAGACTAAGTTCTACACTGATAACCTTGAGATCTTAAAAGAGGCAGGAAAAGGTCCCCAGTCAAAAGGCACTGTTAGGGATCACACAGAATGAGAAGGGGCATAAGAAATGAAATCCACATCAATAGAGAGAGGACCCACACCAATGAAATCACTGAAATGAAGTGTAAAGTTTATGGAGTCACTTTGTAGACAGGCTAAAAATTGTTTTCATTTCCACACACATTTATCAGTTTTGCCCAGTACTGGATACTTTGAAATATCCATGATTCCCTCAGTGGTGAGTTGCAATCCTCATCATTTCATAAATTACAGTTATTGAAAAAAATCATCTAGTAGTCAGCCTTCTAGTGATTAGAAACAAATCTTTGGTGAAGGACACAATACTTGAATGGTGTGTTTTATTTTCCAATCTGAGTTAAAATTGTACTTAGAGTAAAAATTAGGTTAGGCCTTGACTAAATTATTTTAGACTCTAGGCCTATGAGAACAATGCTTATATGGATAAATGCTTTGAATCAAACTAAAGAACATTTTTCCCTTCAGGATTCTAAAAAATGTATCTGAATCTTGGTATTATTTATATTTATATCAAACCTGACTAATAGCTACTGCTACAGATTAATGATCCTAAGAAATGAATATGAATCCTGGGTTTATGCTTATCATTTGGCTTTGGGCAGTCATGTATGTACAGTAATAGACACAAGAGTCTGTGTTGGACATAACATTTCTGTTGGACAGTTAGTACAGCCCTCTGACATAGAGGATTTGTCAACAAAACCAAGTCAGAGTATCATGTTCAAATACACTACTGCTTTCTAGAACAAATGAGAAATTTTCTCTTAAAAGATGTATATGTGCCCTTGAACCAATTAACCAATTAAAATATGCATTTTTAAATTAAAAAGGACATTTTTTCTCATGCAGTGAGGAAGATCACATTTTGGCCCAAACTTATTTACTCACTAGTTGAAATCGGTGTCCAAAGCTCAACCACTCTTTTTCCACAAGAATTTCAAATCCTCTGATGGTTCGATAATAACCGTCCAGCATAAGCATAGCCAAGGAGGTGAGCTGAGCAGTTCGATCCCACCCATCACTGCAGTGCACCACCACAGAAGTTTTCCCTGACTCCACCTTGTCAGCAATCCTAAGAGCCCCAGCAAGAATGAGCTAGAAGAGACGTTTAGAAAAAAATACAATAAAATGAGACAACTGAAGTTCTTCCCGTGGAATTCTTAAGCATAAAAGATTTGTCATTTGTAACAACGGGAGAACTATCACTTATCAACTGTCTGAAGATATTAACCCATGAGAAAGCTTTTGAAAGCACTGAACACAGACATTTGATTTTTAAATGTGGTAAAACTTCATTAATTCAGACCCTACTAATTTGGATGAAAGTCTGGAAGGGGATCTCTATATTTGAAGAAGGGGTTTATTAAACGATAAATTGCATACAAGAATTAACTCTTAAAAGAAAAAACTTTTAATTACCTTCAAAACTCTTCTGAAGCACCTATATCAACAGAAACAACTAGTATACTAAACTTCTATCTTGCTATTCTTTCCTTCCATTCTGAACAACAGGGAGCCACTGAACTGCACTGAATAGGAGGTGACATGGTCAGACCTGCACTTTAGGAAGATCACTGGCAGCTGAGTGTAGAACGGACTTGGGGGGGGGGGGAACACCTGAGACAGGGAAACCAACCACAGGCCCTGGCCACAGTCCAGGTGTGTGACAATGAGGGCCTCCATCAGGGTAATGGCTACGTCAGAAGAGGGGATATACAAGAGATGACAGGACAAAACTGACAGAACTTGGCAACACACTAGATAAGCAGATTGAAAGAGAGGAGTCTAGTACGACCTCCAGGTTGCAAGTCTGGGTGACTGGGAAGTTGGAAGTACCTTTAACAGCAATAAGGAAGTTTAGAAGGAAGATTCTGGGGAGAAAGATTAAGTTCAATTAGGGACATGTACTTAAAAAGTCCATGGGCCATCCAGTTCGAGATGTCCAACAGGCAGATGGAGATGTGAAACTGGAGGTCAAGAGAAGTTAGTCTGAATAAGTAGATCTGAGAAACCTCAGCACAGAGATAACTGAATCCATGAGATCTATGGAGATCTCCAAATTAAATACTATTAATAAGGTGCAAGACAGAGCCTTGGAGGATACCCAGGGTTAGCCGGTATGACCTCGATAATGATCCATCAAAGGAGACTGGAAAGGAGAGGACATGTGAGTAGGAGGAGAATTGGGACAGAACAGTGTCACAAAAACTTAAAAAAGGGAGTATCAAGGAGAAAAGGGTGATCAACAGTGTCAAAGGCTGCGGAGAGGTCAAGAAGGATAAGGACTGAGAAAATGCCATTAGAATAAGCAATTAAGATCATTAGTAACTCTGGAGAGAGTAGTTTCAGTTGAAAGATGAGGTTAGAAGGCAGACAGTAGAGAGTAAAGAGACTGAGAAGAAAAGTAGAAGACCTATTGCAGATGGCCTTCTCAAGGAGTTTAGCCACAAAAGAGGAAAGATGTAGAGCAATAGCTCATGGGGACAGATGGATCAAGTAAGGGTTTTCTGAGGACAGGGGAGACATGGGCATGTTTTTAGGCAGTGGAGAAGCAGCCAGGAGACAAGGACAGATAGGTGATAAGTGACAAAGGGAATTAGGATACAGGGGGTAATCTGCTAAAGAATATGGGATGGAATGGAATCGATTGTGCATGTAGAGGGGTTTGCCTTGGCAAGGAGAAAGTCTACCTTGTTATGTTAGATGGGGTAAAGGCAGAGATAGTGGCAGAAAACATCTGGGAGACATGAATTGAGGAAGAAGGGAGAAGAGGAAGCTACTGGTGAATGGCTTCAATTTTTCAGTGAAATATGAGGCAAGATTCTCAGCTGAGAACGTGGAAGCAGGAGGAATTATAAGAGATTTGATGAGGAATGAAAAGATTTGGGGTAAAAAGCTACTGCGGTGAGTGGGCTAGTCAATTAAGGAGGTATAAAAGGATTGCTTATGGCAAGGACCCAGATAAAATTAGGTAACAAATTTGTAGTGGCTCCAGTCTGCAGTCTTGTGATTTTCTTCAACTTCATTAGAAAGTATGTGAAAAAGGGCAAAGATGGGAATGATCCAGGGCTGAGGCTTAGCAGGGCAATCTTGGTGATAATGGGTCAAGGGATATGAGGAAGAAGACAGCAGAGTGAATGAAAATGTGGCCAGTGCTAGAAACAGAGACCAATGAGGCTGTGTCATCAGGAGAGAGCCAGAAGACAAGAGGAGTGGGAAAGGCAAAGATTTAATATGAAAGCAAGTTTTTACCTATGGAACATGTATTTCAGAAAACACAGTGGAAAGGGTGGGTAGCTTTAGAGTGTGACACTGGATGACTGGGCTGAGGGGGTAGAAAAGGGGAAGATGTAGAATAAAGTTTAATGACGGCCAGAGGTTCAGGATCACTGGGATGGGGATGACCATTTTGTTACTCACAGCCAAATGAGTTCAGGAAAGTTATTAATATCACTAAGGGTTCAGCTTCAGGATGGTGTCCTCTCAGGGTGTTAGGTAGGTCAGGGGAGGAGACCAGTGAGGGGGGCTGATGGAATGGCATTTCTCTCCTATCCCTGCAGGCAGACCCCTGAAACACGAAAGAGGACAGGCCAAGGGACCTGCATGAGACTGAATGGCATCTTTCTGATCTTCTGCCAGGCAGAAAAAGGCTAGCCCAGGAGACAAGCATGTGATGCCAGAATGGCATCTCTCTGATCTGAAGGAAAGACAAGCACTTGGCCTGAAAAAGAAAACTTAGACCATGACAGTTTCTTCCTGGCAGCTACAAAACTTGCATGTGTTGGAGGGATTTGATTTTTGCTCTTTGGCAATAGAAAGTAAAATAAGGAGTGATGGGGAAAAGGTGTAAAGTGATAGATTTATATGGGAAAATTTCCTAATTAGAGCCATACAAAAATGGAATAAACTACCTGAAAAGGGAGTAGATTCCCTCAGCCCAGAGGTCTTCAAATGAATACTGGCTGACCACTTGTCTGATATGGGGTAGAGAAGATTCTTGTTCTAGTAGTATCTGAGCTAAATGGCCTCTGTGATCCCTTTCATCTCTGAGATTTTGAGATTCTCATTCTTAGTATTAATAAACAGACTTGAGTTGAAGTAGTCTAGGTTGTTGGGATACATGATAATCGGCCATTTGCACCTGGGCCAACTGAAGGGAGTTCAGTTAGTTAACCTAACTACTTTGTGTTAACTAGTACTTACAGGATGATAAGATCATAGTTTTACTGGAAGAAACTGCAGAAGCCATTATTCCAAGCTTTTCATTTTGCAGAGGAGAAAACAGGCTCCTGATTTGCTGACTTGCCCCAGATCACACAGGCAGCTTCAATGCCAATATTTCAACCCACATCTCCTCTGACTCCAGAACCAACACTCTTTCTACTGGACCATGCTGGACCCATGACTTGAGGTGCATATAAAGCATTCAACACTCAAATTTCATTGCTTGAGTTTCATCTTCAATTCATTTACCAAGCATTTTATTACTATTTCTGACATCTTTATAGCACTCTGTTAGATACTAAGAGAGCTCATAATGATATGTAAAATATAATCTCTACCCTCAAGGAGCTTAAATTCTAGTTGGTACCAAGACATACATGAAAGAGAGATGAATACAAGGCAGCATTTAAGAAACATACAAATAATAAGAATTTTAGTATTTAAAGAAACAGTGGTCAATAAGAACTGGGAAAATAGGGGATAGTACTGTGGTGGTGGGCACTTGAGCAAGGTCTTGAAAAAAAGAGTAGGATATGGATAGATAGAGGAGTGAAAGGCATTCCAGGAGGGGACAGTATAAAGAGGTTAAAGGAATGAATCTATTTTACTTAAACATCAGAAACTAAAATTGATATTTCAAAGAAAAACTGTCTTTGTCCTTTAGTATATAAATAATAACAACAATAATAGCATTTATTTAACACTACAAGGTTTGCAAAGCATATTACATGTGTTACCTCATTTGATCTTCACAACATTATTACGAACTAGGTGCTATTATCCCCATTTTACAGATAAGGAAACTGAGGCTGGGAAAAAGTTAAGTAACTTGCCCAGGGTAACACAACTAGTGAATGTCAGAGGCTGGATTCCAACTTGGGTCTTCCTGACTCCAAGTCCAGCACTCTACCCACTGTGCCACCTAACTGCCTATTTTAAGAATCACAATAAATTGGGACCAATTGCATGAGAACAAGATAGATAAAATGGTAAATATATCTGGTACGGTTTTTTTCATAATATTACCAGCCCAGAGCCATAAAAACATAGGCCTACCTTAATATGTTCTAGCCAATGAGTAGATTCCAAGTTAGATAGCCAATGAGTTTCCTCAATGTTTGGGTACACGATCTCTTTTAGTTTTCTTAATGATTCTCTCATGACATGAATATTGTGGATATCCAGAAAAACTAGTTCTGCGTTCTGATAAGCATCCTCACTCTCATAACCACCACCCTTAGCCTAGAAAGAAGAGACATCACAGAAAATCATGAGTGAACATAGGCAACTTAACATTAGCATCAGTAAATAGCAATTAGTAGAGAGGACAAAGTTCTACACTGATAACCCTGAGATCTTAAAAGAGGCTGGAAAAGGTCCCTAGTCAAAAGGCATTGTTAGGGATCACACAGAATGAGAAGGGGCATAAGAAATGGAATCCACATCAATGGAGAGAGGACCCACACCAATGAAATCACTGAAATGAAGTGTAAAGTTTATGGAGTCACTTTGTAGACAGGCTAAAAATTGTTTTCATTTCCACACACATTTACCAGTTTTGCCCAGTACTAGATACTTTGAAATATCCATGATTCCCTCAGTGTTGGGTTGCAATCCTCATCATTTCATAAATTACAGTTATTGAAAAAAAATCATCTAGCAGCCAACCTTCTAGTGATTAGAAACAAATCTTTGGTGAAGGACACAATACTTGAATGTGTTTTATTTTCCAATCTGAGTTAAATCTGAGTTAAAATTGTACTCACAGTAAAAATTAGGTTAGGCCTTGACTAAATTATTTTAGACTCTAGGCCTATGAGAACAATGCTTATATGGATAAATGCTTTGAATCAAACTAAAGAACATTTTTCCTTTCAGGATTCTAAAAAATGTATTTGAATCTTGGTATTATTTATATCAAACCTGACTAATAGCTACTGGTACAGATTAATGATCCTAAGAAATGAATATGAATCCTGAGTTTATGCTTATCATTTGGCTTTGGGTGGTCATATACGTACAGTAATAGACACGCAAGAGTCTGTGTTGGACACAACATTTCTGTTGGACAGTTAGTACAACCCTCTGATAACACAGATAAAACTCATACAGAAGATGGAAGATTTGTCAACAAAACCAAGTCAGAGTATCACGTTCAAAGACACTGCTGCTTGCTAGAACAAACGAGAAATGTTCTCTTAAAAGATGTATATGTGCCCTTGAACCAACTAACCGATTAAAATATGCATTTTTAAATTAAAAAGGACATTTTTTCTCATGCAGTGAGGAGGATCGTGTTTTGGCCCAAACTTATTTACTCACTAGTGGAAATCGGTGTCTTGTGAACAATCGTTTGCCATGTTTTGTCAGTTCTTCCTTCACAATGTTTTGCTCTTTCCCATTCCCACTGCCTCAGCTCTAGTTCATGCTGTATTACCTCATACCTGGATTAAAGCAACAGCCTGTCTAACTGGAGCCCCCAGCTCTAGTCTTTCCTCTCTCCAATCCAGTCTCGTGCACTACCATCAAATTAATCTTCCTAAAGCACCATTTTGTGTCATTCTCCTACTCAAAAATCTTTAGCAACTCCCCATTACTTACTGAATAAAAGCCAGCTCATTCAGTCTGGAATTCAAGCTCTTCTATGATCTGGCCCCTACCTACCTTTCTATACTCATCTCCAACTATTCCACTACATAAACTTTCTGTTCCAGCCAAACTGGTATGCTCACTAGCCACAGGAAGGAGAGGAAGAAAGTAGAAAAAAGATAGGTTAAAGCACCTTTCTGGAATCCCATTCCATCTCATTCTAATACTATAAAAAGTTTTATGCCCATTAGTGCTTCCTCTAATTTTAATTTTTAAAAGTTTTAAGTTTAAAAAGTTTAAGTTTTAAAAAGTTTTAAAAAGTTTAAAAAGTTTAAGGTTTAAAAGTTTAATTTTTAAAAGTTCTTTTCAAATCAAGAGAAAGACAGGAAAAAAAAAGACAAACTGCCCGAACAGCTTGGAAATAAATCTACTCAAGTTTGACTAACTAGAATAAATCTAAAAGTAAAGATACAAAATACATATTTTTTAAAAACATACCACTTTAGGTTAAACTCTGCTTGAGCAGAAATAACCAGGTATGAAATAATGTCCCTTAAATCACTACCAGAATCACATTAAAAAATATTATAGCAGTCTACTACGTTCTTATAAAACTAAGGGACCAAAAGATTTACAATCAACCTTTTCATGCCCAAGGAAAAGACAACTGAGAGTTCCCTACTACAGCAATAGACCAAAATATGTTTTGTGCTCAGCCTCTTTTAATACAAGGCAGCCACGATTAGGTACACCTAAAGGGAAATGATCTAGTTCAAAACCATAACATATATTATGCAAAAGATCACAGAAAACCAATTGAGATATGAAAGTGACCAAACAATTCAAAAAGCATCACTGTCCTAGAAGCGCTAGACTACAAGCAATATTATATAACCTCTTCCATGCTTTACCTGGTCTAGTTTAAAGTGATTTAGGCTTCAGAGATGATATCTCCACTGTCCTTGGAAAACCTATCCTGCCGCTAGAAAACCTTAATTTCTTTAGTAATGTTAAGTCCAATTTTTTTCTTAGTTTTATCCCATTACATTTTGATTTGTCCCTCTCGAAACACAATTCCTCCTCTCCTTTTCCACCTCCCACATATTTAACTCATTTGAATAGCTAATCTATATTTCAAAGGGTCTGTTTCAATTCCCTTGCCAACTGCCCAAACCTTATTCTTCATTACTCCCCAGTTCAAACACACCCAGATAAACATATCTGTTGTCATTTATATAAGACTTACCTGCTTCTGCCTGGGCATTCAAATATGCCATTTCTGTACCCAGAATGCCCTCCTTCACCCATTCACTCATGTATACATGCATGCAAAAGTGACTAACTCCTTCAATTCAGTTCAAGAGGCCTTCAATTCTGCTTTTCCTCTTCTTCCCTACTGCCTTTCTCAAAAACAATCTACACTATCCCCACTCTGCTTTTCTCTGCTCCAGTCTCTAAAAAATAAGTGAGGTCCTCCTTGCCAAGGCCAATCCTCTTACTTCTGTTTTGATTCCGTTGCTTCCTATCCGTCCTAGGAGTTTGCCCTTTGTCTGCCTGCCGGTTTGTTTCTAGATTCTTCCATCCTTTAAAAAACAACAACAAAAACTTCACTTGACCCTATCATTCTCTAAAGCCATCTCCTGGCATATTTCTCCTCCACCTGGGTGACACAATGGATAGACAACTGGGCCTGGAGTGAGGAAGAACTGAATGACCAAAGGTCAGTTAACTTGTCTGCCTCAATTTTGTGTAGAATAAGGATGATAATAATAGCACCTACCTCCCCGGATTTTTCTAAAGACATTTAAATAAGGTAAAATTCATAAGCACTGAGAACAGTTCTGACATAGAGTAGACCCCTAACCTTTTCCTTCTCTTCCCTTTTCCTCTCTCCCTTCATTCCTCCCTGTCTTTGCTGATTCCACTTCCTACTTCTATTTCACTCACTCTCTTATCCATCTTTTAAATGAAATATCCAAAAGACTTTGCTCAATCTTCATCCTTCTTGAACCCACTGCAGTTTTTAACAAGGCTGACCATTGCCTTCTCCTGAGTTCTCTCTCCTCTGTCAGTTTTCCTCCTTTTTTAATTTTTAAAAATATTTTTATTTGTTTTATTCAACCAGAATTACCTTCTAACCCTTGCCTCTCCACCCCACCACACCACAAGGAAAACAAAATCTACTACAAACATTTAGTCAATCAAAACAAATTTACATATTGGCCACATTAAAAAAAATTATCTCATTCTGTATTTTGAGTCCTTCACTTCACCATCAGGAGGGTAGGTAGCCTGCTTCTTCTTTAGGCCCCTGGAATTCTGGTTGGTCATTATGTTGATAAGAGTTCAGCATAATAGTATTCTATCACATTTATACACCATAACTTGTTCAGCTATTCCCCAATTTATGGGGACTCCCTCAGATTCCCATTCTTTGCCACCTCAAAAAGAGTTATAAATATTTTTATACATCTTTAGTTCATTTTGCTTAGGACTAATCCTTCCCTTAATCTAAATCATGTGTGATCCTGACTGTGGCTCCTCAGTACTTGAAATCTTTCTTCCTGGCTGTTTATAGTATTTTTTCTTTGGCCTAGAAACTCAGGATTTTGGTATGATATTCCAGGGAGTTTTAATTTTAGGGTTTCTTTCGGGAGGTGACCAGTAGTTGGTTGTTTTGTTTTTAATTTCCACTATGCCCTCTGGTTTTGAGAGATCTGAGTAATTTTCTTTTAAGATTTCTTTAATTTGGTCATAGTGTTTACAGAGTCTAATGATTCTTAAATTTTTTCTACTTGATCTGTTTTCCAGGTCGGTTGTTTTTGCTATGAGATACCTTACTTTTTTTTTTCTTTTTTTTTTTTTTAGTCTTTTTGACTTTGTTTTAATATTTCTTGTTACCTCATAGAGTCATTGGCTTCTATTTGGTTCACTCTAATTTTCAGAGTTTGTGGCTTGGGCAAGATTTTGTACCTCTTTTGCCAAACTGTTTATTTCCTTCCAATTAGTTCTTCCATTGCTCTCACTTCCAATTTTTTTCTAGTATTTTCATTCCATTTATTTTAAAAAACATTTTTTAAACTCTTTTTAACTCTTGCTTCATCTGTTTTAGGAATTCTAATTGAGTTTGTGTCCAAGCTGTGTTTTTCTCTAAGGTATTGCTCGTAGATGTTTTGAAGTCATTCTCTTCTGTGTGTCCTGACTCCAAGGACAACTCTCTTTGTACCAGGCCCATACAAAACTGCTTCCTGAGGGTTACTTGTGGCATGCCAAAGGATTTCGGGTGGCCCACGAAAAATGTAGAGGAAATGTAGAGGAAAATGTAGAGAAAATCCTTTGGCGGCCATAGGTCGTGCAGGCCTGTTTTACACCATGTCATGCTCTGTCTCATGCTAGACTACTATATCAGGGAAATGCTACAGACATAATTTTTCTCTTTATCAGTAAGGCATCTGACAGAGTCTTACATTATGCTTGTAGACAAGATGAAGAGAAAGGAGATAGATGATGGAAATACAGAACTGGTTGAATACCCAGACAGATCCAAAGAATCTAAATCAAGGAGTACAGATTAATGTAAACCTGGAAAGTTTTTACTGGTGTGCCATATGGCCTTATCCTCAATTCTGTTCTGTTACATGTTTTTATCAACA